TTGTTAGAGCCTGGACCACCCACCCTGGAGAGAACCATCAGGTGATCCCCGCTGGGCTGTGCAGCCTGTGTGAAGGCCCTGAGGCCAGGCCTGGATTAGGGCAGAGACAGGGAGGGGCGAAGGGAGGGACCTTTAGCAGACCTGGAGATGGAATCTACCCAGCCCCCTGAGGAGCTCTCCCTAGAGTGTGGTGGGTGGTGCAGCCTATTTAAGCCGAGGCCGGAGAGGCTGCTGGAGTCACACAGCAAGCAGAATCCTCGGCATGGGGTCCCAGCTGGCTCTCCCCATCTCGCAGGAAGTTCGCTACTCCAGGCTGCGGATGGATCACCAAGACAAGGTGCGTGGGTGACCAGAGTTCAGGGAGAGGGGACCTGGGATTTGTGCTCGAGGCAAATGGGAGCCACAGAGGGCGGTGGAGGCCCAGGACCACGACTTGGGAAGCCCGCCGCCTTAGTGGATCCCCACATTTTCCCCCTGGTACTGGGCATGGAACCCAGGGCCTTCGCACTGAGCTACATCCGCAGGCTGTTTTTATTTTGAAACCAGGGTCTCACTAAATTGTCCGGCCTGGGCGCCAGCTTGTGATCCTCCTGCCTCAGCCTCCCAGAGTGCGGGGATGATAGATTTCCCCGCATCTTAGGGCTGCCTGTCCTATCCCCAGCCTCATCGGGACTCAGGCTGGAGCCGTGGGCCGCTGGGGTCCCCGTCATGTGGGGCTGAGGTGTCTGTGGGGCCCCGCCTCCGAGCCGAAGCGCCTGTGTCTTCCGTCCCCGCCTGTCCTCCTGCCACCTGGCCCTTTCTCCTGGGCGCTGGCAGCCTCCCCGCCTGTGCCAGCTGTGACTGGCAGGGGGCCAGGGCCGCGTCTGCAGCTTAGCAGCGCCGGGGTGGGTAGCTCGGGGGCAGGAAGCAGGCAGAACACAGCCATTCATTCAACAGATCCCCAGCCGTCACCTGCCTGCCCACCAGGCATAGATGCCAGGGAGATGGCAGACAAGGGCGCAGCAGGGCCTCGCCGCCCTGGGGGAGGGCAGCGCGCCTGCGGCTGGCTGTTAGGCAGTGGAGCCCGGGAGAGGAAGGAGGAGTCCGTCCAGGGCCTGGAGCAGGCGTGGAAAAGGGGGCAGGTTAAAAGGTGGCTGGGCCGGCGTGGTGGCGCACACCTGTAATCCCAGTACTTGGGAGGCTGAGGCAGGAGGATCACTGCGAGTTGGAGACCAGCCTGGGCTACAAAGTGAGCTCAAGGCCAGCCTGAACTGCATAGCGAGACCCTGTCTCAAAGACTGAAAAAAAAAGCTGGCTGGGAAGGTGACCTTTGAGGACAGATCAGAGCTCTGTGGAAGTCTAGAATGGGGAGACGTCCCAGGCGGAAGGCACAGCTGTGCAAAGGCCCTGGGGCAGCACGGAGCTCCATGCTGTTTGGTTCAGAAGCGTGGAGAGTGGCTGGAGCAGAGGGAAGAGAGGCGGAGAGGCAGCAGGGGGGGTGGGGGTTGGGGCTGCCACTTGGGGTCCATTGGCAGCAGGAGGACTTGGGCTTTGGCCAGGGGGTGGGAGCCCTGTAGGGCTGAGGGCAGAGGAGGAGTCTCACAGGTTTACTGTGGCTGCTGTGAAAGTGACAGGAGAGGTGAAGAATGCAAACATAAGCATGGCTAGGACCAGTAATGGAGCCCGGCTGTGGTGGCTCAGGCCGGTCAGCCTAGCCCTCTAGGAGGCTGAGGCAGGAGGAGGATCACAAATTTGAGCCCAGCCTGGGCAATTTAGAGACACAGTGAGACCCTGTCTCAATTTTTTTTTTTTCTCCTCCGATTTCACTGTTTGAGACAAGGTATTGCTACATAGCCCAAGCTGGCCTGGAGCTCTCACCACCCCTCCTCCCTCAGCCTCCAGAGTGCTGGAGGACAGGCCTGCGCCGCCAAGAACGGCTCAAAATTTTACAATGCACAGCGAATGTAGCTGGGTGCAAAGGCCTGGAATTCAACCCTCATCATCGTGCCCCCCCCAAAAAAAATTTCGTGGTCTCGTGGATGTGTTTTGGGGCAGATCCCCCGCACTCACCGAGAACCGGAGAGTGGGAGACAAGGTATCCGGAGGGATGGCTTCCGTCCCCGCCCCGCCCCGCGGGACCCCTCCCCGGCGCGGCGCGCAGCCCCAGGCCCCGGGGAGCCGCCGCGCGGGCGGGCGCGCAGGAAAGCGCCCGTAAATCGCGCGCTAACGAGGCGGGGAGATCGGGGCTCCCCTGGGCTTCAGCCGCCTGGATCCATCAGCGCCAGGAGGCCGCGCCGGGTTCAGTGGGGGATCCGCAGCCCCCAGTATCCCGGGGGAACCGGGCAGGGAAAATGCTGGCTTCCATTTTTCCCTGACATGGGGGACGTGGCTCTGGTTTTTTTGTTTTTCCTGGTACTGGGAATTGAACTCACGACCTAAATCCCCAGCCCCTTGTGGCTCTGATTGTCTGAACCGTGTCGAGTTTTCCCCATTTGCAAAATGGAGCCGCCAGACCACCTGCACATAGGGTTGGCATTGCCCACATGGCCCGAGGGCACATTCCTTTATCAGCTTATGTTGTTTCATTACTGAAGATTGAATCCAGGTCCTTCTCAGAGCTACAGTCTCAGGCTTTTTGTTTGTTTGCTTGTTTGTTTGTTTGTTTTGAGACAAGGTCTCACTGTGGAGCCCAGACTTGACTTTGAACTTCTAGTAATCCTCCTGCCTCAGCCTCCCGAGTGCTGGGATTACAGGCCTGGGCTACCACACCCGGCATAGTTTCTAATTGTGAGACAGAATCTCACTAAGTTGCCCCAAGTCTGGCTGCAATGTGTGACCCTCCAGCCTCGAGTTCAAGGATCATAGGCGTGTACAAAACCGGTTACAGGGGCTGGGGATTTAGCTCAGTGGCACAGCGCCTGCCTGGCAAGCGCGAGGTCGTGAGTTCGATTCCCAGTATCGAAGGGGGAAAAAAAAAAAACCGTTACACACCCGTGTCTCTATTGGTGATCTTCATGCCTGAGTCTTATGATTTGGCATTTCCTGGGTTGGGTTTTTTTATTTTATTTTTTTTTGTTTTGTTTTGTTTGAGGCAAAGCCTTGCTAAATTCCCCAGGCTGCGCTAGAACTCAAAATTCTCCTGCCTCAGCCTCCCAAGCAGGTGGGACTACAGATAACGTCCCACCCCACCTGGTTTATGTGTAGCTACTTAAATGGAAGTTACAAACTATGTCCTGACGCCAGGTTTGGTGGTGCACACCTGTCATCCCGGCACTCAGAGGCTGAGGAGGGAGACTGCAAGCTCCGGGCCAGCCTGGGCAACTGCACACACAACTTGGCAGGACTCCATCTCAAAATCATAAGAGGCCAGGGTGAACTCAGTGGGAAGGTCCTGGCTTTGATTTTCCAGTACCATAAATCAATCAAAACTACATCCCTAAGTAGCAGCAGACAGACTTTAATTAGCAGCCACTCCCACAATCACTGCAGTCATCCACGCATACGGGAAGGGGACAGGTCCCAGGAGCCTCTGCTGATACCAGAATTCCCAGATGCTCCGGTCCCTTATGTAACATGGTGTGGTGCATGCACTAAACGTACATGAGATCATCCCTGGGCAGTTTAGAATACCTGGTACAATGTCAATGCTGTGTGTATTGCTTCTATACTGCCTTGGGGCGGGGGTTACTGGGACTCGAACTCAGGACCTTGTGCTTGGCCAGGCAGGTGTTTGTGCCACAGAGCTATATCCCCGGCCCTATACTGTATTTTTTGGAAACAAGTCTCACTATATACTCTCAGCTAGCCTCATAGCAATCCTCCTGCCTCAGCCTCCTGAGTGCTGGGCTAACAGGAGTGTACCACCACACCCACTGTTGCTATACTGTATTCTTCAGGAAAAATGATAGTAAGAAAAAGTCTGTATATGTCTAGTACAGAGGCAATTTACATTTTTCTGAACGTATTTTTAACCCACGGCCTGTTGTATCTTCAGATAACAAACTTCTATGGATAGAGGCCAGCTGTACCAGGCCAGCACTGGGCCAGGTGCACGTGCTGTGTGGTCCCACATGCCAGGAACTGGTCTGCCCTGGGACCCTGCACTGTTCAATCTTCATAGCCTGCCATGGGTGGTGAGTTCAAGGTCAGCCTGGGCTACACAGTGAGACCCTGTCTCAAAACACCGAAAGGAGTTGTGCATGGAATCGGTCCTTCAGTATCTTGGACTAACAGTACTACCGATTTCTTTATCCTTTTGGTGTGGCCACTAGAACATTTAAGTGCTCCCGACAGGAGCGATATGCGTAGTGGATGGTGCTGCTCTAGGTGGTTTTCTGTTTGAAAGGAAACAAATTTTTTCATCTGTACTGGGGATGGAACTCAGTCTTCCCACTGAGATAGGCCACCCCGTTGTTTATCTTTTTTTCTATTTTGGGGTCTTGCAAAGCCACTAAGTCGCCAGGCAGGGCAATGGAACTTGCTAGCCCCCTGCCTCAGCCTCCCGAGTGCTGGGACGGCAGGGGTGTAGAGCCTTCCCTGCTTTCTCCTACCGGGCACCGGGAAGCCGGGCTGCTTGGAGTGACCGGGTCTGTCTGTCTCTCCACCCCTCTAGGTAGTGAGCGGCTCCAAGCTCCCGACCTGGCATGGCCGGGGAGGCCTGGCCGCATCTGGGAAACAACTCGACCAGAAAAGGAGGGAGCCAGCGCCCCACCAGACCCCAAAAGTTGAGAAGCCCCAGAAGAACTGCAAGGCCCCTGTGGGCCCGAAGTCCGGGCTGCGGGCGCGGCGGTGGCGGCCCCCCAGGCGGGAGGGCAGCCCGCAGGAGCCCTGGCTGCCCCTGCTTCCACCCTGCGAGGCTGAGCGGCCCAGTGCCCTCACCGGCAACCTTGGGGAGAATTTTGCTTGCAAAGAGGTGGCGGCACGGGACCCCAAAAGTGAGTGTCCCCTCGGGGGTGGGGCGGCCTCCCGCGGGTGCAGGGCGAGCGCTAACCTTGCTGTGTGACTCTCCATCTTTCTCCTTCCGTTGCCACAGCAACAGAGCAGGAGCCAGGCCTGGTGAGTAAACACATCGTCCTCGTCCCGGGGGCCGGGGGAGGCTGCTGGGCTCCGGGTCCCGGAGGGAGGGATCCCCCTCAGGAGAACACAGGAAGTCACTCAGGGTGGGGGCTCTTCCTGCCACAGTGGAAAGAGGGGAGCCTGAGCCGGGGGCCAGTCGAGCACCCCGCGCCCGGCCTCCCTGGGTGCTCCGGCGCCCGGACGCTGGACGCCCATGGCTCTGTCCTGACTCCCAACTCCTGTGACCGAGGGCAGCCAGGCTCGGGCCCGGCGCTGCTGAACCTGGAGTCCGAGTCCAAGTCCAAGGAGGACCTGCGTGAGGAGCCCCGGGAGACAAGGCGGGAGGTCCAGCGCACGGGGCCCCGGCACCCGGCTCAGTCCCCGTCTCCGTCCAGTTACTGACTCGTGGGAGGACCTGAGAGAGACCGAGGCCCACAGCGTGACCCAGGTGAGCCTCCTGCTGCCGAGCGCCACCTGCCTGCGCGTGCAGGGGGGAGGACACCCGACAGCCACCTTCTCCCCGCAGGCGCCCCCGGGAGGCGCCCGCCCGGTGTTCCCGAAGCCTGCGTGAGTGCCTGCAGGTCCGGGAGACGGCCCACCCGCCCCGTCCCCAGGGGTGTCCGTCGCCGTCCTTGCTGTCCGCTCCAACCTCCCCACCTGTTCCTGACAGAAGCGGCTCGGTGCAGGGGGTCGGGGAAGGAATTCCTTTGCAGGAAGGATGGGGTGACTGGTGGGGGCTGCCCTGTGGAGCCTGACCACGGGGGCTCGTAATAACTGAGCCCTGAAGGATGAAGAGGAATTTCGCCCACTGGGCAGAAGGGAGAAGCACGTGGCGAGGACAGAGGGGGAAGTCTGCAGTGTGGTTAGGGTTCTGCAGGGGAACGTGGCCTGAGAAAGATCCTTTAACATTCAGAAGAGAATGCAACGACTAAAGAAAAATAAATAAATTTTTTAAAAAATGAAACTACCTTGGAGCTTGGTGGGAGGCTCTCGCGGGGTACGGGAATCCCTGGCGGGCAGGCACCCCGAAGCTTCCCTGCCCCTCTACAGATGCTGGGACCACAGAGGCTTCAAGCACACGTGGCTGCGGCCGGGCGCCGAGCCGGGCCAGCCCGCGAGCTTCGCTGAGCCGGGCCCGGTGCAGAAGCTGCACGTGCTGCGACACGGGGCCCACGTCCTGGCCACGGCTGTGAACAGCTTCGCTCACCGGGCGTTCATGTGCGGCTTGGGCGGCCTCGAGGCGTGGCATCTGGGCAGCCGGGTCACCTTCCCCGAGAGCCACCTGCACTGGCCCAGCCAGGTGCGAGCCGGCCGGCCGGGTGCCTGGGAGCCGGACGTCCCTGCAAGGCCGACGCTCACGGCCACGTCCCCTCCCTCGCTCTGCAGGCCCCAGGTGCATACCTTCGCACCTGCCTGCTGGCCCCCAACGGCCGGACGCTGTTCGCAGGTGGCCACAACCTGCCGGGCGTAAGCGTGTGGGACCTATCGGTGCCATCCCTGTGCGAGCCGGACCAGCTGCCGTGCGAGGGGCTCTCCCGCCAAGCCCTGGACGCCAGCCCCAGGGGCAGCCTGGCCGTTGCAGGCTTCAGCAACGGCACCGTCAGGATCTGGGACATTCGGGATCGGAATGTGGTCAAGTGAGGCTCAGGGCAAGGTGGGAAGGACCTGGGAGGGGCCTGGAGCTGTCAAAACCCAGAAGGGGCCTCACTGCCTTAATCTCGCGTCTGGGAACCTCGAAGACCTGGATTTAGATCTAGGCTTGGCTCATTTCTTATGAGTCATCTGTACTTGCTTGCTTGTTTCCCCACCTTGACAGCGTGCGGGACCGCCCCCAAATGAAGTGGTTTTTCTCACTTGGGCCGACCCACGGCCTTGAGTGGCTGTGTAGGCACTGTAGCACTGCCACACCCCCAGCCCTTAAGTCTCTTTGAGACAGGCTCTCTGCTCGTTGGAGTTTCACAAAGTCACTAAGGTGCCCAGGATGTGCTCAAACTTGCCATCCTCCTGCCTCAGCCTCCCAAGTAGCTAGGATAGGAACCCATACAGTTTTAACTATTTAAAGTATTTTTGTGCCAGGTAGTGGCCCACATCAGGAGGCTGAGGCAGGAGGATCCCTGTGAGTTTGAGGCCAGCCTGGGCTACATAGCATGACTCTGTCTCAAAATAAAAAGGGCAGGGGACATAGCTCAGTAGCAATTGGAGCTGGGCTGGTGGTATTTCCAGCCTCAGAGTCACATGCTGACTTCCCTTGGGCAGGGACCTCCCTGGCCCGCAGGGTGAGGCCAACAGCATCATCGTGATCAAAGACGACACTGTCTGGACAGGGGGCCTGGACGGCTGTCTGCAGTGCTAGGACCTAGGGCGTCTAAAAAGACCCAGAAGCACCTCTTTAAGTCTCAGGTGTGGTGACCACTACTGTCCGCAGCTACCTAGCGACGCGGCTGCCTAGCAACCCACGCTGGAAACGCTTCCGGTCTCCAGTCCCTGTGCCACAGTGGGTGGCCGGCCGGGTCCCTGGGCCAGGGCCCGACTGCACTGCTCTTCCCAGATCACGAGCCTGTCGCAAAGCCCCTGGGATGACTGGCTGCTCGTGGGCCTGGCCAGTCAGCAGCACTGGCTGCAGCCCACCCTCAGGGGCCAGGCGCATGCTGCGGGGCACAAGGACGGTGCCATCCTGGGGCTCAAGTTCTCCCCGTACGATAAGCAGCCGCTGAGGTCTCCGGTTGCCTCCAAGGTCAGCCCAGCCCTCACGGACACCCCAGGGTTCTCTTTTTTTTTTTTTTGGCTTTTTTCCGGTACCAGGAATCGAACGCACAACCTTGCGCTTGCCAGGCAGGCACTGTGCCGCTGAGCTAAATCCCCACGGTTCTCAATCACAAGGGGTGGCTAGGGACAGGGCAGGCTCTGCTTTGGCCTTCCCGGCTGTCCCTGTCCTTCAGGATGTAGTCCTGTCCGTATCCCCAGGCCAGTGGTGGGTAAGCGTCGGCACGGACAAGCTGGCCACCATTCACAGCATGCCGGAAGGGGCCACGGAGTTCCAGGTGCGCCAGGGGGAAGGGCGGGTGCTAGGCCCCCGGGGTGTCCCGAGGAACACGGGGCGGGTGAGCCATCTCACTGCCCCGCGCCCTTCAGCTGGCTGAGAGATCCTGCGTCACCTGCTGCGACGTGTCCGCCAAGAACCGCCTGATCGTCACAGGCGCCAAGGACTGTGCCTCCGTGTACCAGGTCACCTACTGAGGGCCCCTGTCGCCCAGCTCGGGCTCTGAGGTCACCGAGCCCCCCGCAGGATGTGGCCAGGGGCCTGGGGAGGAAGTCTGCATCACAGATAATAAAGCAAGAGGGGAAGCAGGCCTGGTGTCCTATCCCGTCCCTTCCTTTCTGCCACACCCCATCACAGGAGGGGCCGCAGGAGGTGGTGGCCTTGACTTCCCCGGCAGGGTGGTGATGGGGCTTCAGGTCCTTCCCGTGAGTATCTGGGGGACCAGGGTGGCTGCCCCAGGGGACACTGAGCCACGTCAAGGGACATCTGTGGTTGTCACAAGTGACACTGCAAACACTGAGCCGTTAGGGGCCAGGATGCCCCACAGAGAACCCTCTGCCCCAGTGTGCACAGCGGTGAGATAGCCGGGCGTTGTGGTGCACACCTGTAATCTCAGCACTTGGGAGGCTGAGGCAGGAAGATCCCTGCAGGTTAGTGGCCAGGTTGGACCACGGTGCTGAGTTCAAGTCCCAATACCAAAAAAAAAAAGCCACAAAAGGGAAAAATAGTAGGTTCAATCCCTAGTAGCACAAAAATAAAAGCACAAACAAATCCAATATTTTGTAAAACAAATATACACTCACAGAAATACTACAAGCAGTGGGAAGCTCATGTCTGCCATGTGAAACAAGGTGTTGGGGCCAGGTGGCACTTACTGGCCACATGGGTACAAAGGATGACTCTCACCTCAGCTGAATGACAGAATTGGGAATGCCTGTTACACGGCCCGCCTGACTCATCCTGCCCAATCCTGGTTGCTGAACAGATACCCCTGTCACCTGGGATGGATTCTCATCCGCTACCGTCATACAGGAAGTGGCTGCCCCTCAGTGACAGTGCCCAACAAAAGTAGCCACAGCCTGCCCCTGGCCCAGCGGTGATAAATACATTTATTTCCAGGAACCCTGGGTCCGCTGAGCACCCACCCCAGCAGCGAAGGGAGGGCTAGGCATTAGCCGGTGAGCAGAGGGACCTAGCCAGAGGGGCTGGTGGGGTCTCCATCACCCCCAGGAGCGGCGGGGGCCTTAGTAGACCACCTCATACACGGTAGCCTTCTTGTCTCCTGAGCCTGTCACGATGTATTTGTTATTCCTGGAGATGTCGCAGCTCAGGACAGAGGAGGACTCCTTGGACTGCCGGGGGGAAAAGGGGAGAAGGGAGAGGTCCGGTGAGTGCGGCCCACGTTAGCTGGGCTTGGTTCTAGGCTCCTGGCCATCCAGCCGACATTCAAAAGCGGGGCATGGAAGATGGGGACCAACATGTGCCCTTAGGCTGGGCCTGTGACCAAGGCCTCTAGCCGGAGGACAGCAATGTATTTTCTTTTTTCTTTTCTTTTTGGTCTTTTTTGAGGCAGGATCTTGATATGCAGCGCAGGCTGGCCTGGAGCTCACTTTGTAGCTCAGGCTGGTCTCAAACTCGCAAGGATCCTCCTGCCTCAGCCTCCCGAGCACTGGGATTACAGGCGTGTGCCACCAGGCCTGGTTAATACGTTCTCTAGCCATAGCCGTTTGACTTCACCACTGAGCGCATGGGTACCTGTGCAACTTTGTTTTCCATTTTGGGTAATGTTTGATAGTTATATCAGAATTCCGACCCTTTCTTACCATGTGAATGTTTGAGATGATCTTCCCCAACTGTAGCCTGATAAAAGTATTCTGACCATGCTTAAGGCTGGCTACCTGTATTAAGTGTCCTTTAAAAAATGGCTATTTCTGGGCCGGTGCAGTGGCACATGCCTGTCATCTCAGTATTCTGGGAGGCTGAGAGGCAGGAGGATCATGAGTTTGAGCTCGACCTGGGCAACTCAGTAATCTGCAAGACTCTGCCTCAAAATTTAAAATTTTTAAAAAGGCTGTGCGCAGTGTGGAGGTCCTGGGTTCAATCTCCAGTTCCACAAAAACAGGCCTAACAGAGTATTTTTTTGGCTTTTCCTCAAGTCCAGCAAGTCTATGTCAAATATTCTGTGGGGTTTGTTTTTTTGTTTTGAGACAGGGTCTTGCTACTTAGCTCAGGCTGGCCTTGAACTCATGGCAATCACTCTGCCTCAGGCTCCTGTGTGCTGGGATTACAGGCGTGCGCCACCACACTTGGCTTACAATTTTAAAAAATTAAACACTACTTGATAACCGCCCCCATGACTTCTTAGAAAGACAGTAACAATTGTTGGTGAGGACCTGGGGACTCTGGAACAATCCCTGGCAGTGGAAATGTAAAATCTGTTCCTCACAAGCCTCAATAAGCTTGTGGCAAATCCCCCTCCAGTACACATGCCCTCGTGAGAAACATTAGCTGGGAAAGTCATATACAAGTGTTCACCACAGCACGTTTCCCGGCAGCCAAGGAAGAAAAAGAGCCTAGTGTCCACAGAGGGAGGGAGGGATGGGTGCACACAGCAAGCTCCATCCCCAACTGGAACATTACACAGCTAGGAAAAGGAGCAAGGCTGTGACACCACAGTATGGATGGAATGTGAAGCCGCCATGCAGTGAGAGACGCGGGACATGGAAGGGATTCTGTCATCCCTTGCTTTAGCAGTGGCATGGGGGGAGGTGCACAGATCTGGGGAGGGGTCACGTAGCAGAAGCGGGGGGCAGTTCCCCTGGTACCTGGAAGATGCTGGCTCCGTACGGTGTCCTCCAGGCATTGAGCAGATTGTCCTTGCCGGTGCTCACGAACCACCGTCCTGGGGAGGCAGAAAGCTGAGGGGCAGGGACCAGGGACCCAAGAATGTCCACCCCTGCCCTTTTGTTTATTTAAATTTTTGTGACTCCAGAGATAGAACCCAGAGCCTTCACCTGAGCTCCATCCCCAGCTCTCTTTATTTTTTTTTTTTTGTTTGTTTTTTTCCCAGTACTGGGAATCAAACTCACGACCTTGTGCTTGCCAGGCAAGCGCTGTGCCGCTGAGCTAAATCCCCAGCTCCCCCAGCTCTCTTTAAATCTTCTATGTTAAGAGAAGTTCTTGCAAAGTTGACCAGGCTAGACTCAAACTTGGAATCCTCCTGCCTCAGCCTTCCAAGTAGCCAGGATGACAGGGGTGTACCTCCACACCTAGCCATTATTTACTCCTTTGAGCGAGGCCCTAGTTTTGGTCCCTAGTGCGCCTCCCTCTTCCAAAATAAAAGCAAGCAGCCATGGACATGGTGCTCTCCTGTCATTCCAGCACCCTGGGAGGCTGAGGCAGGAGGGCTGCCAGTTTGAGCCCAGCCAGGGCACCTCTGAGAGAGCCTGTGGGGATCAGGGGCAGACTTACCGCAGGAAGCAAACTTGAGGGAGAGGACGCAGCTCTCGTGGAGGTGCAGCTGGTACTTTTCAGGCTTGCGGACATGCAGGATTTCCACATTGCTGCTCTCCATACCCACGGCCAGCCAGTCCTGGTTGGGGCAGTGGCCCAGGGAGAAAATCTAGGGCAACAGAGGAAGAGATGGATCCTGGGCCCCTTGAAGTTTTTTTGTGTGGTGCTGGGGATGGAACCCAGGGCCTTGCACCTGCTAGGCAAGTGCTTGCTCCTGAGCCTGCTAGGCAAGCACATCTCCAGCCCTTGAGTTTTATTTTGAAACAGGGTTTTGCTAAGTCCCTGACTTGCCAAGGTTGGGCTAACTTGCAAGTCTCCTGCCTCAGCCTCCCCAGTAGCTTGGATGACAGGGGGGTTCCTCCAAGCCCCTGGCTCCTGGACCCCTGTGGAGCTCAAGGGAAGCTCCTAACCAGCGGGGAAGGGTGGCGCTCCCATTTTTTCCCACATCAGCCCCCATGGAGAGAGGCAGCTGGCCAGGCGGGAGCACAGCAGGCGACTGTGTGCCGGATCATTAATATTAATCAGAATTACACAGAACCCCCGGGCTGCACATCCATTATCCACTCAGAGTATCAGCAGCCGGGAGGCAGCCAGGGAGGGAGAGGAGGCCGGCGGGGCAGTGGCTCCCCTTAGCAGAACACCACTTAGCAGAACGCCGAAGCTGAGGCAGCATAGGCTCAAGGTCATGCGGGGTTCTCAAGGGCTCACAGCAAGAAGTCAAAAACATAGCCTGGGAGAAAGCCCTTGTGGGACCAGCCTGGAGTTCTGCTGCTGGCCTACACTGCTCTTTTGTTTTTGGTTTTTTGAGGTAGGGTCTCACTGTGTAGCCCAGGTTGGCCTACAAATTGAGCCTCCTGCCTCAATTCTCCTGCCTCAGCCTCCCAAGCGCTGGGATGACAGGTATACACCTCCGTGCCTGGCCAACACTGCTTTTCTGTTTTGATCTGAAAGGGTTCCAACTTCTCCTTGTCAAGCCACATCCTACGCACCTACGGCATGGAGGCTGGGACTCTCCCAGGCCTCAGATAAGATATGCAGAAGCGACCTAGACCTGCAGTGGAGAAGACCCCAGCTCCCAGCAAGCCTTTCTGGCCACATGGGTAAACTGCTGTACAAAGTGGGGATGGCCAGTGAGACAGGAAATATTCCCAAGGGGTCCCCTGAAATGGGCAACATGGAACAAGGAACGGACAGCTGTGTCCACGTGTACCTATGATTTCACTCTGGGAGGCTGAGGCAGGAGGGTTGAAAATTCAATCCCCCCCCCCCAAAAAAAAAGAAAATTCAATCCCAGCCTGGGCAATTTAGTGAGATATTGTCACAAAATAAATAAAGCTGGGCACGGTGGTATATGCCTGTAATCCCAGCACTTGGGAGGCTGAGGCAGGATCATTGTGAGTTTCAGAGCCATCCTGGGCTAGTGACTTCAAGGCCAGCCTAAATCATAAGGCGAAAGCAAGATCCTGTCTCAAAAAAACCTGGAGAAAGACAGAACACGTGCACTAGGGATACAGCTCCATGTGAAGGCTCTGGTTATGATTCCCAAACTACCACAAACACAAATATTGAAGAGGTTGAAAGACAAGTCTCCCCGAAAACCCAGGTTTCAAGGAGGGAGGGCAAAATGACAGATGGGTACTAACGGGTAAGTAGGAGTTCACCAAGTAGAAAAGGAAGGGAAAGCACTTCAGCCAGAGGAACAGCAGAAGCCTAGAAGCACCCAGAGCTCCGAGCATGTGAGGGCCCTGGCAGAAAACTCTGGGTGACAGGCCAAGGAGCTCACGCCCTACCCAAAAACACTGGCAGGCAGAACCTGCAGTACCAGGCAGTACCACAGAACCCATCCCTGACTCCCCCTGCTGGGCCCCAAGAAGCCCCTTCCGCACGTCCTTGAGCCTGGACTCTCCTGGCACCCGTAGCAGGGACCTCTCCGTCCCCGGCTCCTGCCTCAGCTGGGCCTCTCTGTCCACACTGAGCAGCTCTCCAGGCTGAGCCCAGGGCCCCCAGGGGTGAAGACTGGGAAGCGAAACCAGCCCTGCAGAGACAGGGAGCAGCTGGGAGGCAGTGTGCGGAGAGAGGACCCCAGGGCCTCAGTAGACCCACGGCTTAACAGGAACCAGGTCTTCTATATTTATCGCATCTTTGGAGAATTAAAGGGAAGGACCCGTGAATCTGTCGCCTTTTTCAATTTTCCAGTACCGGGCATCGCTAAGCTACACCTCCAGCCCTTTTTTATTTTGAGGCAGAGTTCTGCAGGGTTACTAAGTTGCCCAGGTTAGGCACAAACATGAGATCCTCTTGCCTCAGCCTCCCAAGGTAACTGGGCTGACTGTGGAGCGCGTGCCCAACCTGAACGGGCCCCACTTTTACAAGAAAGCAGACAGCCGCAGCGGACACTGAGCCTGTCCTGCATCTGGAAACGGGCAACTCCAGGAAATGGGAAGGGGCCGCCGCCCCCAGCCGGCAGCACCTGCGAGCTGAAGTCGTGCTGCTGCAGCTGGCGGCCCTCCCGCAGGTCCCAGCAGCGCACGGTGTTGTCCAGGCCGCCCGTCCACAGCCGGGTGCCGTAGTCGGAGATGTCGATGCAGCTGGCCCCGTCCGTGTGGCCCTGGAACTGCCTGCAGGGAGAGGCTGGCATCCAACCGGCATCAGGGCTGCTCGGCCACATCCCCCAGGGTGGGCAGCCAGGCAGGGCCCCGCCAGGGTCCCGGCCACCCACACCCACCTGACCATGGTCTGGTTCTGCAGGTCCCAGACCACGATGTTGCCGTCGCTGCAGCAGGAGAAGCAGACCTTGGCGTCGGGGCTGACGGCCAGGGCGTAGCAGGCGGGCGCTGAAGAGGTCAGCTCAGCCTTGATGCGCGGCGTGGGTGCCGCCAGGTCCCAGATGGACAAGGTGCTGGCCTCGCCACCCACGATGAGGCTCCGGCCGTCTGGCAGCAGCTTGCAGGAGCGGATGTAGTTGTCCCGGTTCTGGGAAACCCCCAAGGACAAAAGCCCGGTTGGGGTTGGTCCTCTTGGTAGGCTCCAGAAACCCCAACCCAGGGTGCCTCTGCCCGCCTCGAGGCAGCCCAGCTGCCCAAGGCCACAGCACCAAGCCTGGAGCCCGCAAGCCCCCATTATCTGTAAGCCCCACCCCTAAGGGCAAGCCCCGCCCTTTACGGAAACGCAGACCGCCCCCTTTTTGCTATGGGCCGTACCCAGTTTACCACGAACCCACCCCTTAGGGGCGAAATCCCGCCCCCCTAGAGCTATAAGTCCCACCCTGGCCTCACTGCTAGCACCACTCTGGGGTTTATGTAAGCCCGCCCCTCAGGGTCGCAAACCTCGGTTCATCTCACTATAAGTCCCACCCTTAGAAGCTGCAGGCCCCGCCCCATCCTATGTAAATCATGGATTTACCCTAAGCCCCGCCCCTTAGGGCTCCACCCTGGTAAGTCCCGCCAGATTGTCCATAGGCCCCGCCCTAATTTTAGTGAAGCCACGCCCCTGGCCCGCAAGCCCACCCCTTTCACCAATATGCTCCACCCCCTTGCCTGCACGCCCCGCCCCTTAACCTGTAGGTCTTGCCCCACTCCCCGCCCCCATGCCGGCCTCTTGGGCTGCAGCCCGCCCCTCACGCCCCGCCCCTCCTCACCAGGCAGTCCAGCTGGGCCACGGGTGTCTTGGCTCCAGGCTGGCCCACGTCCCATACCTTCACGCAGCCCTTGCCGCCCGTGTACACATGCTGCGTGGAGCCACTGATGGTGACAGCGCAGACCACCTCGCCGTGCGCCAGCGTGTGCAGCTGCCGCGCGTGCCGAGGGATCCCCGCGCCCACCAGTGCATCCGAGGGGAAGGGCACGGGCTGCATCTGGCCGTCCGCGGACACGTGGAAGGAGTAGGCCCTGCGGGGCACAGGCAGCGTAGGGACAGGGACACTGCTGGGCCTTGGCTCCCAGCCCAGGGCATCTCCTGCCTGCCTGCAGCCTGCTGCGGCAGGGACAAGGGACCCGTGGAGCAGGTGGGAAGGCACAAAGGGAAGGGCAGAGGCAGCCTGGGGCGCAGCAGCAAGCACTTTTGGGGTGCCTGCAGAGCACAGTTAGTTGAGGACGCCCCCAGAGTCCCGGAGCCAAGGCCCATTGCTAGACAGTAGCCCCTGCCACTTGGGGCCAGTTATGCTTTATTGAATGAATTCTTTGGGGCCTACGCCTCTCATCTCAGCATTCCGGGAGGCAGAGGCAGGAGGACTGCAAGTCCTAGGCCAGCCCAGGCAACTTAGTAACTCAGCCAGACTCTGATTCAAAATAAAAAAAAAGAAAGGCTGGGAACGGAGCTCAGTGTGAAGGCCCTGAGCTCAGTGTGAAGGCCCTGGGTTCCATCTCTGGGACCAAAACCACAAAAAAACTACTTAAATGAGCATACATTTCATTCCTGGTTGCGCAGGCCACACTTCAAGGTCCCAGAACTGAGGTGGGGGCTTCCGGGACAGGACAGCAGGAGGCCTGGGGCCTACCCACCAAGGGAGTCTAGCCATGCTGGGCCCGGCTGCCGGGGGCCCCACTGCTCCCTGCCAGGGCCTCCCCACCCCAGCAGGGACAACGCTAAACGTCCGCTGGGACCCTCATCCTACAGAAGAGGCCTGGCAACCCGGAAACCCCACGCTGCACCCATACAATGCCTCTGAAGAGCAGGTGGAAGGGACTGCGGGTGGGTGGGCCATACTCACGGCTTCCCTCCCGGAACTGTGGGTAGCGAAGAGGAGACAGACGAGCCTCGGAGGTGGGGGTGCGACTCAAACGCCATCTGCTGGGACGCCAGAGCAGGTCCCCCAGGGCAGGCACCTGCAGCCACCTCTGCCCTGTCCCCAGCCCCAGCCCCTCCCCAGAAGCAGAGGCGCTTGTGCCCCCTGGACTCAGAGAGCTGTCTCCACTCAGGGGAACCCCACAGTCTCTGTCCAGCAAATCCCAGAACCCCAGGGTGGGAAGGATCCATCCGATGTTCAGATTTGGTACAGATCAGGGGTCTGCAAAGCACAACCTCAGGATCCACCCAGGACGCCCCTTGGCTTTATAAGTAACCTCCCAAGAGGCCGGGCCTGGTGGTGCACGCCTGTAATCCCACTGAGAGGCTGAGGCAGGAGGATCTCTGCAAATTCAAGGCCAGCCTGGGCTACAAAGTGAGTTCAAGGCCAGCCTGAACTGCATAGTGAAACCTTGTCTCAAAAAGGAAAAAAAAAATTAAATAAATAAGTAAATAAATACCCTCCCAGGGCCAGGTACTCTGCTCCTTATAACGCAGCCTAAGCGTAGCTGTTTGTGCACTGCCACAGGTTCTGACTTGCGCTAATCCTGTGAGTTACTGAGACCCTCAGGTCATCTTCCACATGCCGAGCCCAGGCCCCTTCCCTTGCCCCATGCACCTGTCCTTCTGGCCCCCAGGGATCCTGCTGACCACCCTGTCTCCACCCCCGGGACTCACCATGGGCGAGCGTCTGTACACCACAGAGCTGCTGACCTGGGGGGACAGGTGGAGGCTCACGTAGGAGCTGGGCACAGAGAGGTCCCCGTTGAGGGTGCTATGGGAGCCCAAGCTGAAGGACGTGGTGAACGGGCTGGACAGAGTCAGGGGACTCCTCAGTGCTGAGAGAGAAGGGTCAGGTCTTTAGACTGTCTCGACCCAATCCTGGGCCCCCGTTATCTGTCTGCCAACTGGTAAACTCCTACTCATCCTTCAAAACCCAAACCCAGCATCCACCAGTATCACGAATGTTCTTGAGCCTCCCATTCTCAGCAGCTATCCTGGGTCCCTCCTTTTATCCCAGCCACCCTAATCATAGCTAAGAATTTGAGGGGTCTCACCCAGACTGTCTGTGGAGGGTGCCGGCTTGGCTGCCAGTGGACAGAGGTGACCGGCAGAGCTGGGCCCAGGGGTGGACGTGTCCTGGGATGGGGAGGAGTCGCAGGACTTAGAAGCAGGAGGGCCAGTGGGAAGGTCGTTCTGCAAAGAAGAGGCGGGACTGATAGGCCACGAGGAACCTCGTGGCCCAAGGACCTGGGCAGAACCTGCAAGGGAGAAAAAAGCAGGGGACATGGCGGATGGGTGCTCCTGGAGGTGTGTGCGGGTGGGCAGTAGCACATGTGCAGCTGCAGGGCTGCGCACACCAGGGCCAGGACTGATGGCCTGGGCTGGAAGGAACCAGGGGTGACCAAAAGAAAGGGTGAATGTTCACATTTTTAAAAGCTACACTGCGGTGAATCCCCCTCAAAATCCTCCCCCTCACTTTGAACACACTGATCCCATGGTGCTGGCCACTTTCCACAGCAGCTCTGGAGTCCTCTTTCCTGAGGGTCTTTATGAGGTGCGATCAAAAATATGCCAAATGCTGCTGCCCAGGGCCCTGTAACGGGAAGGCAGCTCATAAACACGTGATGCCGTGTCCTCACCTGAGTCACTGGTTCTGGCACTGTGTGACTTCGGGCTCCTCCCCAAAGTCAAAATGACCATGAAAGGTGAGTGCTGTGAACGGGTTCGGGACACTAAGGCAGCCGGGACACTGCTACTAAGCACCTTCACGAAAGAGGACTCCAGATCTGCTGCGGAAAGTGGCAAGCACGAGGGGTGAGTGTGTTGTAGGCAGGGTCTCGGGGCATCCATGGCATGTGGCTTTTTGTAAACATCCGCTGGAGTTTCCCATCATGCCTCACACACGAGGCTCTGCACAAGGCAGGTGGGGCGGGTGGGGGACTCAAGACTGGCCACAGGGAAGCCACTCGCCCCCAGGGTGGGAGGCACGCACACGGGTGTGGAAGGGAGCAGGAGGGGGCGTCAGTGGGGTGTTAGGCATGGAGCCCCGGGCCTGCATGCCAGGCAAGCACTCACCACTGCGCCACACCCCCAGCCCTCTTTATTTTTGACAGGGTCTTGCGGAGGTGCTGAGTTGCCCAGACTGGGCTCAAATTTGTGATCAACCTGCCTCAGCCTCCTGAGTAACTAGCCACGGGCCACCGAGCCGGGCTTCATCTGGGTCCTTTGGGAGGAGGAACTGGAAACTCCAGGGTAGGCTCACCAAGGGGCAACACGCAGGGAGCTCTTCGGTGCACGAGTCTGGGGACTGAGGGGAGTGGCACCTCCCTCAGCTGTCCCTGGGCTGGAGGAGCCTGAGGGAAGGGGGCTGCCAGCCAGACCCCCGTCTGGCCTCACACCTTCGGTGCCTCCCACTTAAAAGAATTCTGCACCGTGGCCGGGCACAGTAGCACACACCTGTCGTCTCAGCACTCTGAGAGGCTGAGGCAGGAGGACTGCAAGTTCCAGCCCAGTCTGGACCATTTAGTGACTTAGCAAGACCCTGTCTCAAAATAAAAAATAAGAAGTGCTAGGAGTAGAACTCAGTGCAAAGGCCCTGGTTCCCTGAGGGGGCATCTCCTGTACCCTGTCCCAGGCCAATTCAGCTTCCCACGTCACAGATGTGACAGGTGGGGTCTGAGAGGACCCCTGGGGGCTCCTGGAGAGAAAGAACTGCTCCAACTCCCCCCCTTTAAGTTTCCCTGGAGGTAGAGGGAGGAGGGCACTTAATGCAGAGTGAGAGCCCCAACTTCTGGCGGTTGCCATGGCAACCTATTGGCAGGGGAGGCCTAGAAACCGACAATCTCACCCAGGGCAAGTGCAGGGCAGGGGTCTGGGGAAGATCTGGGTGGGGGAGTAAACCCGGAAATAGAGCGGGATCACAGCAGGCCGCAGGCGGCGTTTTGATGGTCCTGACTCCTGGCATTAAAGCCCCAGGAAGCTGGGACAGGCTCCCGAGATAAAGACATGCCTCCCGGAGATCTGGGGCTGGGGCGCCGGTCTCTCAGAGCCTCGGGAAGGACTCAGGCACCATCGCTGGGGCCTGAGGTCCGCCCCAATGGTCGCCAGGGCTCTGGTTGTGTTTATTTCCACGGGATTTCCTACTTATTGCAAGAGGTCCTTGTTTCCCAAGTAAGGTGGTGAGCTGCTCTCAATATTTATTTTCCCAGCTTCATTACAAAGTTGCCGTTTGAATATTTACTGAGGTTCAACCACAGGTGTCTGCAGACCACCAGGAGGAGCTCCCCCCACCCCGCAGCAAAGGTGCAAGGCTGTCATCCCAGCACTCTGGGAAGCTGAGGCGGGAGTATTGAGAGTTGAGTCCAGCCTGGGCAACTTAGTGATTTAGTAAGACCCTGTCTCAAAATAATACATAAAAAGAGATTGGGGCATAGCCCAGTGCAGAGGCCCAGGGTTCAATCCCCAGTACCACAAAAAGACGAGAGAACAAAACCAGACCTCAGGTTGAGTAAAGTGAGTTCCAAGCCCCCTGCGCAACCCTTACCAGGATGAGCTCTTTGGCTCTGGGGATCGGTGAGCCCAGGCTGGAGGCCAAGGAGGCGGGGCTGTCCCCGAGGTCCCGGTGGGCAGCGACGCAGACGGGCGCCTTCCCACAGGGCGTGGTGGCCGGGCTGGGCGGCTCTGAGGGCTGGTCCTGGGTGACATCGGGCAGGGTAAAGTGGAGGAGACAAAGCCCTGGCCACATGCACCCCACTCCCAGCTCCTCTCCAGCCCAGGCACCTTGCTGTCTCCACCCACAAAGAGGGAGTAAGGTTCCCACCTCCGGGGATACCCCCAATCCCAGAGAGGAGAGGAGCTTAAGCGCCCCAAGACTCACCTCGTCCACTACCAGGTTATAGTCACTCTTGTCCTCATCGCTCTCCTGGGGGGACACACGGAAGACAGGCTCAGCCTGACCACGCCCCCTCCACACTCCCAACACCTCCTTGGAAAGGACTAGGATTTCCTGACCCCCGCAGCAGCCTGCTTGTCAGAAGGGAAGGCTGGGGTGTCACAGGGCCCCTTTGGCTCCTGATCTCCAGCCTTACCACCCCTAAGTTCCCCTCCACACTGGCCCGAAGAAATTTCCTAAAATCGCTCTGCCGCTGCTCTATATCCTGCTGTGGCTCCCTATTGCCTTTACGAGAGCCTGAGCCCAGTTCTATTCACTGGTGCAAGAGACAGTGCTGCAAAGCCTAGTGGGGAAGGGTGGCATTAAACCTGGATGTGCTGGGCTGTCTTTGGGGGACATCTGGTTTGGCAGGAAACTAAGAACAGACCCAGTCCAGCCTGCGGTCTGGAAGCCAAATCTGCCCACTAGATAGGTTTACCCTGACCTCCTGCCTGTGCCATTTATTTATTTTTTTTCTTACACTACTGGAGATTAAACCCAGAGCCTTCACACTGAGCTCCATCCCAAGACCTTCTCATTCTTTATTTAAGTCAGGGTCTTGCTTAACTACAAAGTTGCCCAGGCTAAGCTGGAATTTGCGATCCTCCTGCCTCAGCCTCCCACAGTCCTGGGACGATGGGCAGGCACTATGCCTAATTCTATGCCCAGCATTTTGTTTTTTGGGTTTTTTTGTTTTTGTGGGTTTTTTGTTTTTGTTTTTGTTTTTCTCCGGTACCGGGAACCGAACTCACGCCCTTGCACTTGCCAGGCAGGCGCTTTTGCCACTGAGCTAAATCCCCAGCTCCTTGTTTTTGTTTTTTGAGACGAGGTCTTACTACGCAGTTCAGGCTGGCCTTGAGCTCATTTTGTAGCACAGGCTGGTCTCGAACTCTCAGCGATCCTCCTGTCTCAGCCTCCTGAGTGCCGGGATTACAGGCGAATGCCAGTGTTTTGAACACAGGGCTGGCCTCATGCATGCAAGTAGTCTACTTCACACTGCGCCCCTAACCCTGATTCTCCTTTAAATCTAAATTAGTTGCTGCCATTTCTAAACCAAGCCAGGCAGTAAGAAGAAAGCCCAGCCCCTCTGAGAAGCATGCTGGTCAACCCAAGCCAGGGGGCAGGTGGGACCAGGATGAAGTTGGCCCTGCAGAAGGGATAAGGACTCCCCAGATGTCCCCAGCCCTGCCTGCAGCTTGAGCCCTAGAGGCTCAAATTTTGGGTCAGAGGGAGACGCTGGATTTGGAGAGGCACGCATCTGAGGGGCTCTCAGGGGAGCAAAAGTGGGGGAAGGGACCCTGAGGCTGCAGTGACTCAGAGTAGCTAGAGTCCAGGTGGCAGCACAGGGCCTCTACTGACTGACCAATGCTCTGTGAGCAATGGGGAGCTACAGAAGACTTTAGAGTGAGGGTCGAGGACACAGCTGGGCTCTGGAAGGCTCCCAGGTGCAGGGCGGAGACTGATCTGGGACACACATACCCACCCTGCCCCCCCTCACCCTCACAACTCACATAAGACCCCGCCAGGCCTTTGTCCTCGGCTCTCTGCTTCCCGCTGACCCCGGGGCCACTGGGCCGTTCTTCCTCCGCCAGACTCTCGGGGGGCGACGGGGACGCGCTCTGCAGGGCGGCAGGGGCCAGGCAGGAAGGGTTAGGGCCTGGACTCCCCAGTTGTGCAGCATGGCCGGGGGCTGTTCTTAGGGTCAGAATTCTGGTGGTCGGGGAACTGGCCTCTCCACAGGAAGCCAGGTGACGATCTCCCCCACCACAGCCAGGAAGGGAAACTGAGGCCGCAGGGCAGGGGCTGGGAGAGCTCAGTCGACAGATGTGGCCAGCAGGCAGCTCTTCCGTGCAGAGCCCTGTGCTATCTCCAAGTGTGGTCTGTATGTTTTCCTTTCCAAAACAGGACCTTGCTGTGTAGCTCAGGCTGGCCTAGAATTTAAGGCAATCCCCCTGCCTCAGCCTCCCCAAGTGCGGAGATGACAGGCGTGCGCCACCATGCCCAGCTTCCAGCTTGAAAGATTTAAAATAAAGCTCCAGCGGTACAGGCCTCTCTCCCAGAGAGAGCTGCTGAGGCCCACAGCTTGAAAATGGGGGTGTGGGTGTCGTGCTGAGGCCCTCCACTCAGAGCAACCTGGAATTCACGGTCGCCCCTCGACTTACCGGGCTCAGGCCTCTCTCCACTGGCAGATGGCAGGAGGCAGGGCAAAGGAAAAAAAGAAGAATCAGGGCTTTATATCCCGTGGTGGTCAGGGGGTTGTACAACCCTCTACAGTTTATTATTTTGGGTTTTTTCTTTTTTTTTTTTTTTTTGAGACAGGGTCTCACTAGGTAGCCTAGGCTGGCCTTGAATTCTTGGTGATACTCCTGCCTCAGCCTCTCGAGCGCTGGGATTACAGGGCTGCCACCACACCTGACTCCCACTCCAGTTTTTGTTGTTTTTTATTGTTTTTGTTTTTGTTTTTTTTCCGGTACCGGGAATCAAACTCACGACCTTGTGCTTGCCAGGCAGGCGCTGTGCCGCTGAGCTAAATCCCCAGCCCCTCCTTCCCCAGTTTATAAAGCCTTCTTCCTCGCTCTGAATCTCCTTATCCCCATAGCTCTACAGTGGATTGTCTCTTCCTGACCCATTTCAGACACATGTCCAAAGGGGGCTATGACTGGGCGTGGTGGCGCACGCCTGTAATCCCAGCACATGGGAGGCTGAGGCAGGAGGATCGTTGTGAGTTCGAGGCCAACCTGGGCTACAAAGTGAGCTCAAGGCCAGCCTGAACTGCATAGCGTGACCTTGTCTCAAAAATACTAAAGGGGGCTATGGATTTGCCCAAGGGCACACAGCATGAGGTTAGCGTGAGCCCCGTGGTCCCACAGCCACCCCTGTCCCTTCTTCCCATCATCCCCGGCGCCAGGCTCCCCGCTCACCTCTGGACCCCTCGGGCTCCACGCCCACGCGATCCTCCTTGGTGGCTGCCACCAGCTGGGCCTGGGCAGCCAGAGCTCCGGACAGGGCCAGCAGCCCAGCGGCACTGCTGCCCACCAGCCCGGCCGGACGAGGGGTGAGGGGCACAGGGGGGGCGTGGTGGGACAGGGGCTGGAGCTGCTGCTGCTGGAGGAGGAAGAGGATGGGCCAGGGGCGGCGGGGGCCTGGATCTGAGCAGAACCGTGCGCAGGCTCCCCAGGGAAGCCAGAGCCAGGGCCGGCTACCCACCCTCCACCCCAGGGCTAGTCCCGCCTGGTGCCAAGGACAGGGGTGGCAAGGTCCCCTCAGAGGGGACAGAGAGAAGACTCACCCCAATAAGGCTATTCAGCTCCCCAACTGTCACCTGCTTCGCGCGTTCCACGGCCTGCAGCACTTGCTGCTGGTGCTGGGGAGAGGGGGGCAGTGACAGGGGCTACACAGTGTCCCCAACCCCAACCGACAGCCCCAGGCCCTGCTGCTCATTGCCACCCCAATTCCCACCTGCCATTTCTTTAAACTTATTTTTGCAGCCCCAACCCTTTTTTATTTTTTTATTATGAGGTAGGGTGTCTTGCTAAGTGGCCTAGGCTGGTCTTGAACTTGAGATCCTCCTGCCTCGGCCTCCCAAGTAGCAGGGATGACAGGCATGCGCCACTGCACTTGGCCACTTCTTTTCTCTCCCTCTTTCCCTTTTCAAATGATGAAATAAATACACAGAAAAAGAAAAAAACACATGTAAGTACAAATACAGCAAATAATTACAAACCCAGGTCTCCCCTGGGCACTACAGGCACTGGGGAAAGGCGAGTGCCCTGTGGGGGCGCCCTGGGCACTGCAGGACGCTGAGCACCGTCCCCAGGCTCCGCCCGCTCTGTGCCAAGAGCAGCCAGTGCGACAGCGAAAATGTCCCCAGGAAAGAGCCACTGTTACAAATCAGCACCTACGTGCCAGCCAGGGCACAGAATCACCAGCGAGGAGCCCCTCTCCCCGGCTCCCCCGCCCGCCGGAAGCTGCTGGCTCTGTGCTTCCTGAACTATTATCGCTGGGCTCCTTTTCCCGTCGCATGTGACTGGCTTCTTTTACTCCATCCAACTGTTTTTTGTTTTGTTTTTGTGCTGCAGGGGATAGAGCCAAGGGCCTTGAACACGCTGGGCACAAGCTCTACCCGAGCCACGCCCCAGCCATGAAATGAAATGGACACACATTTAATACAGGGGCTGGAGCCGGGCATGGAGGCGCATCCCCGTCATCCTGGCACACTGGGAGGCTGAGGCAGGAGGACCACAAGTTTGAACCCACCCTGGACGATTTAGCAACTAAGCGTGACCCTGTCTTTTTGTTTGTTTGTTTGTTTTGTTTTTTTTCTGGTACCAGGAATTGAACTCACAACCTCATGCTTGCCAGGCAGGCGCTATGCCGCTGAGCTAAATCCCCAGCCCCTATCCTGTCTTAAATTAAAACATAAAAAGGGCTACAAGTGGAGAGCAGGGTTTGGCCCTTGAGCTGATTCCTGTCCTATGAGATGGGACTTGCTGGAGCAGGTATGTGTGCCCTTATTTACTCCTTCCCAAAGGCCTTTCATCCCACTTCTTAGGATTTCAACCATCTCAGCCTGGGCCACCTCAGCCCCACCGTCAGTAGCAGATGCCACCTTTTCACCCTGCTTTAGACAGGACCTCTCCTATCCCAAACTTCCAGAAACCTCTGCCTCTGTAGGTGAAGCCCCAACCAAGCTTGCTAAGTGTTTGGTCCCCCGTACAGCAAGCTGCCCAACCTGTATTTATCCATTTAACCTGTCTATTTCTTTCTGGAGTTTCCAGAAAGCTTCAGATAGAAACAGAAGCCATCTGTGCAAAGGTCCTGAGACCAGCAGGAATGAAGGGCATCCTCACAAGGGCTGACTTTGGTTCTGCAGCTTCAATAAGCTGCTTAGCCAGTTGTTATACATCTTTGCTCATTCTACCTCTTTTAAATGATTATGCTATAAAATACATAAGAGAACCAGGGATGTAGCTCAGTAGCACAGCACCTGTTTGGTAAGTACAAGGTTATGAGTTCAATTCCCAATACAAAAAAAAACCTACCAAAAAAAAAAAAACAAAAAAACACCCCACATAAGAAAATTTACCATTTCTAAGCACCCAGCTCAGCGGCATCAAGCGCCTCCCCCGGCTGTGCCTGGCTATGCTATCCACCTCCCAGGGCCCCCGGCCCCCAGCCCTTCCTGTCCCCTCCCCAGCCCGGCACTGCCATCCTCCTATTTCTGCGGCTCTGACCACGCTGGGCTGTCCCGGGAATGGGACCCTGCAGTGCGTGTCACTCTGCCTGGCTCAGTTCTGTGAACATAAACTAAGTTAACCTTAAGCGAAGCACTGACAAGGCACCTGGCAGCTTCCAGGCCCAGGGCACAGAGCACCCCACGGCCACATTCGCCGCAGGACCCCTTCCCCCCCTTGGCCAGTCTCCTTCCGCCCCTGCAGCCGCCAGCTCCCCGCAGGGGCAGTGCCCAGGTGCCCACACGGCGCTGCCCTCTCACCTCCTGCGTCAGGAACGGGATGATCTGGGCACAGATCCCGCTCAGCCGCTTCACGACCTCAGCCTGGCAGGAGCAAGGAGACAGGCTTGGCGGGGCTGGGGACCCCGGCCTGGGCCTCGCTCCCAGGTGAGAAGCTCTCAGAGCCGGCCGTTGAGAGCAGCACCTCTAAGTGCAGCAGGGAAACTGAGGCCAGCGAAGCTCTGGCTGGGGCAGGGGCCCGGCCTTCGGGTCTGTGCCTGGCGGATCCCCCAGGTGGTCTGCAGTCCGGGAAGCAGAGACGCCTGGCCACGCAAGCGGCCACAGGCGCAGCACTGGGGTCGCTGAGAGAGGGAGGGGGCAGGCCGGGGGCCCAGAGAGGCCGTGCAGAGCTGCGAGCAGGGAACGGTGCCCACCAGCCCACCTGCTGTGCCGTCCTGAGGCTGGGTGCGCACACCCTGGCCCTCCCCCATGTCTCCTGCTGTGTGGGGCTCAGTGGCCAGCACCCACGGCCCCCGCCACGCTCCCACACACCAGCGCCCTCTGAGCACATCAAACCAGCAGACCCCACCATACCAGGAAAGCAGGCCAGAGGGCACCACAGGCACCCCACTCCCAGCCGCCACCACCCCCAGAAAGCCCCAGTGGATTCCAGCATCCTGGTGGACAGGCTCTAGGAGCCCAGCACCTAGTCTCAGAGCCTGCTCACCCCTTCTGAAGCCAGTGATCAGCCTTAAGAATCCAGCACCGACGTTAGGCCCTGGGGTCTAGCTCGGAACCCTGGGGTCTAGCTCAGAACCCTGAGGTCTACTCAGAACCCCACAGTGCTCCCGGGAACGGTCCGGCTTGCATGGCTCAAGCTGAAAAGACTTAGGACCCCCGGGGCCAACCCACCGGGGTGAACCTTAGGGCCTTCAAACTAGCAATGGTTCAGACCCCATCTCAAAACTTCAGACTTTCTGGGCTGGGAGGGGACCTGACCTCCAAGGCCACCTGTCCAGCCCCCTCCTGGGACAGAAGTGACCCCACAGCCCTCCTGACCCTGCCGCTGCTATCTCTGGCGCCTCAGCACCGGGGACACCTGGTTCCTGGCCTCTCAGCTGTGGGCCACTGTCTCCAAAAGCTGAGAATCATTTTTCTTTGAGAAACAGAAATTTCCCCCCTGTTCCCAGCTGGGGCCTCTGGGGTCTCTGTGGAGATTTCAGCATAAGCCTGGGTCATCTTGGTCCCCAAGTGCCCACGCTGGGTCCCTCCCGAGGCGTCCCAACCCCCACCTTCCACAGGGACAGCAGGACCCCAGCGCGGTACCTGCTTATGCATCTCGATGTTGAGCCCGTAGGACATCTCGTAGTACTGCAAAGGAACGGCACCGGCAGTGTCCAGGGAAGGGTACACGGCCGGTCCCCAGCGGGGTGACATGGCTGTTCTGGGCATGTCACAGCAAGATGCAGGTCCCCCAGCTCCACTGGGTCCCAGAAGCGGAGCCAGAGACACCAGGGGGCGCGTGGAGGGGTCCCCTCTTCCCTCCTCAGGGAGCCAGGGCAGGCGGGAGCCGCCCTGAGACCCAAGACCCAGGGAGCCTCCCCAGGACGGCCGCTGCCGGAATCCCAGGGACCCAGCCGGCCCAGCGCCCGGGCAGGGAAGGGGAGGCTCGGAGGGGCAGGAGAGGCGCCACCACCCTGCGCCCAGGAGCCTGACGCTCACCATGACATAATGTCTCTGCATCTCCGTCTTCTCGCTGGCCAGTTTCTCACACTCCAGCTTGAGGCTGGGCAGAAGGCGGACATGGGGTCCCCGCGGGCCACGTGGGCACTTCCCAAAGTGCCAGGGGGAGCCTCTCCTCCCCCACCTCCCGCCCCGACCCAGTGTCCCTCCTGCCGCTTCCGGCACTCAAAAGCCCCAGCAGTCCGGACCCCAACCCTGACCTCTCCCGAGCCCCCTCTCCACCTGCGCGCCCGCCCCGCCCGCCCCGTCCAGGTGCGCGGCCCCGCGCCCCGCACCTGTGGTACTGGGCCTGGAGAAACTGGAATTCTTCTTTGATGCGGTCGCAAATCTCCAAGATCGAAAACTTAAAGGGCTGGCCGGAGGGGAGCGGGGTCTGGGGCGGGGGGAGATGCCCTCAGGCTGTGGGACCCCCGCGCCCCGGACGCGGGGTGCACGGGGGCGTCCTCTCCTCCGCAGCCCCCGTCCCCACTCACTCACCGGGTGCCGTCCCTGGGGGTACATCCTGCTGCTCCGGGGGCGCCCCCGCCCGGCGCCACCCGAGCTCACAATATGGGGGCGCGGGAGCCGGAGGCGGGGGGCTGCCCGAGGGGAGGGGAGGAG